TCAATACGTGCTTCGCTAAATCTGTTTAAAACTTCATTTAATTATCTACTCATGTCCAATCAATATTGTAAATTATATATATTAAAAATCTGACGCCATATACCTCTCTTCTGTTCCTAATTCTTGGGGCAAGGGTTCACCTTTTAGAAGTTTGGAAACTAACATATCATAGTTAGAATGTGAAATTCGGTATTTTTGCAAAATCTATTGCAAATAAGGAATATTAATTCAAACAAATACGTAAAAAAAAAAAAAAGGTTACGAAGAAATGTCTAAACTTTGAATGTGCGGATCCAATCAAATCGCTTGATTTCTGAAACAAAGCAATTTGAATCCGCACAATCGGATTTTAGACGCTGGTACCGAATTGTAAGAAATTTGAAATATATACTTTATTTATTAGCGGGATAAATATTGCATAGTCAGATCCTAATTGAAATACTAAAGCACAAAGAGTATCCATTGCGGCCATTCTTAAATCGTTGTTATTTGTGGCCAAGACGCGTGCTAATGGATGAATAATTCTAGATGCATGATCAGAAAAGTTAACTTTTTTGGATAATTGTCCAATTGTAACAATGGCTGATTTACGTAATTGAGGAGGCAGATCAGTCCTCTCAAAAAGCTTGACGATGACAGGAATAACAAGGTGCATATATTCCTCAATGTTTGTGCCAAACACTACAAGTGCGTGCAATACTCTCTGGGTAGGTTGTCGTTTATCGCTTTCGTCTTCATCAAAAATTTGAAGCATTATGGGCAAAAGTTTAGGAAGATAATTTTTAAACTCGCCGTCCAGAGCTTTTGCAATTTCTTCTACAAGATGAATTATTGTAATCTGAATGGTAGAGCTTGGGTTCCAAAACTTTTCGACTAAAACGAAAATGTCCGTGAGGTAATTTCTGACATGTTGTTGAACAATAGAAACTAAAATGCTAAGCTGTTGAAAATAAAATTCTAACATTCCAGGCGGGCATGTCATCATTACGCCTATGAATGCTGGTGTGATCTAATGAAAACACATAATTAATTGTTATAGACATTTTTGAAAAAAAAAAAAAATGGAGAAAACATACTTGTGGCAAGAATGGAACGCATTTTAGGCTTAAAGTTTTGAATATGTACATAACAGCTTGAATAACAGCTGTATGGTGGGCACTCAGTGAAGGATCTCGCAATATTTTCATAAGAGCATTTATAACAACTGTAGGATAATATTCTTCTGACGTTGGCCCCATTCCCGTCATCAAAAGGGAAACGTCAGTATTTGAAGACTTCGGATCAGTTAGTGAATCATCAGAAGATCCAATTGTTATCTATATCATTAATTGCATCATTATATCTTGATAGTTAGTTTGTAGCTTTCGAAGTTTTCATGTAGCAAGTTCACAGAAATGTCATTACCTTGTGCCGATAAGGGTCTAGAGCACCCAAAATTCCTACCAACTTAACTGTTTCCCGTCGTATTGAGGGAGACTGCTCCGTTTTTAATATGTTGATAAGGATAGTAAGCAATTTAGGATATTTTTGATATGGTTCAATGACAAAGCCGGTATTACTTGTAAGTTGACCCAATGTTTTTAACGCAGCGTCCCGTTTAACAGTAGAACTTTGGTCTTGTAGAGCATCAATTATTAACGGCATTAAATTGTCTAAGTATGGAATTAGATCTTCTCCCCCTACTCGTGCTAATTCACCAAGTGCAGCCAAGACACTAGAAGCAACTGCAGGACTTGGATCTCGAGACTTAGGTAGTAATGAATTAAGTATTGACTCTACGTATGGTTTAATCAATCTTTGAGAAGCAGAAACTAATAAGCTTAATAGCTTGGCACTTTCTTCTTTGTTACGACTGTGGATAAAAATGAAATTTGTTAATAACAAATAATTGTTATAATTGTAATCGTCGTAATAGTATTTGACAATGATAATTTAACTTACCTTACACCAGAATATTCTAGTTCTGTTAAAAGCTGAATCAACGTTTTCCGTAAGGATGGCATTACATATGCAGGATTATGAGAAGCTAATCGTCCTATAATCGTAATTGTAATTTCGCGAATTGTAAATACTTCGTCATTAAGCGCAATAAACAGGGAGCGTATATTCTCTGCCTGAGCCAAGTGTCTATCAAATCTTTCGGTAAGATGTAAAAGAACTGTCTCTCTAATAGATGGATCTGATAAACCCAAAAGCAAAACAAAAACCAGAATTAACGAAAACATCAAGAGCAATTATAAAAGTTCTGTACGACACTTACCAGGGTCAGCAACACCGACAGTTAATAGTTTCTCTAATACTTCGTTTACGACTTGAATTGAGTGATTACTCGCCTGATCCAAAATTGGATCCCGAGCAAACAGTTGACAACAAGTTAGAGCAGCAGCTCCACGAACTTCATGATTGTCCTGCTCTAAATAACGAACCACACAGTCTCTGACAAACTCATTTAATATGTGCCCTAAGGCAATTGATGTAGGTAGATTATTTTAGTAGATGAACTAAATAAAGACTCGAACCATGCACACCACGTAACATTCGAACCTTCAAAATTAAAGCTTCCAAGTGTTTTCAGAGCAAGTGTTATTGTCTCTACGTCTTTTAATTCTGACATTTGGTTTCCGAGATGTCGTTTCAAATCATTTCCTTCCGGCGCTGGTGATCCAGGAGGTCGGAATGGTTGTCCGCTCAACATTGTCGATAGCATATTTAAAAGACGCTCTTTTTTTTTTAATTCAAAAATTGTTAAATTTAATCGAGCTTATTAAGAACATAAGACGGATCATTAGTATTACCTTGAATATTTGGCAGCAATGGTGGAATAAATATGGCAAGCTCAGTAAGAGCTTGTCGAAGTTGTTCGCTTAATCCGCATGCGAACATTAAATCTAAAAGTTCATGCATGTGCTTTGTAAGTGCTTGGCCAACCGCTCGAGCCAACATACCGATGCATTGGAATAAGGGAGCTTCGTTTCCACCGCGGCTTCTCCTTTAATGTTTCAAATTTTTAAAATTTTGTTGTAATTGCTTGGGTTAAAGTGTATTAAATACTTACGCCCTTGTAGATAAACCTTCTTTGATATTACTTAGTATAGAATCTAAATATGGACTCATATTGCTCCCTACAGCACACGCCACTTGTCCAATTGCTATGAAAGCTATAACAAAAGCAATACACTTAATTTTTTAGATGAATGTAACTACAAATGTGAAAGCTGCACATACCAATGGATCTGTCGCGATCTTTTTTAAGCTGCGTCAAGAGGTGCGACATGAATTTTTGGACATATGTTGCCACAAATTCCTTGTCATTAAATTCTGCAAGAACAGGTATTAACGAAATAACGGTTCGTCGAATAAGGCCATCACGATGGTCTTTATAACGATACACAGTTTCACAAACATATTTGTATCTTTCGTGCATAAACTGTAATTTTTGTGGGAATTAAATTTACTTATTCCGTAATTGTCGTTAATAAAGTAACAAGAACTATGCTTACTGCTTGTGCATGATTTAGCAATTCACGGTAAACCAATAACGCTCCATGTATCTGATCTGCATTATTACTTTTTATGCCCTTCACAGCTTCATCATATGTTTTGTTATACCATTGAATCTTTAACACAGTTTCACGTTCATTCACAATTTTAAGGCAAGCACTCAGAGTTTCTGCAGAAGCCTCTCGGATAATTTGCTTCTGGTCGCGTAGTCCAACCCATATTGAGTCTAATATTGCTGGTACATGTCCATATATGAGTGTCGGCGCATTTTGTGCAAGCTCACGAAGTATGAGTGCTGCCGCATATCTTCGTAATTCCTGACGGTCTCCTGTATCATCATAAATTACGATCAATGGGGAAATGGCATCAGTGAACAATATTTATGGTCGATTAAACTTACCTTGTAAATATTCTAAAGCAGTATTGACTTCACGCATTACGAAAATAGCTGTTACGGCACCGTTAGGAGCAGCCAACTTGCCTGATCATTGAGTTATTATTGAATAATCGTTTAATGAAATATCGGGTAAAAGATTAATTATAGATGATTTTAAGTACCTAGAGCTTTTGATGCTAAAATCATGATTTGCTGGTCACCACTAGGAAGAACCATTTTTAAATAATTCGTGAAACGAGACAATGTCGTTGTTTCGATGTTATTGTTGATCAATGAGTCTAAATATATAAAATTATCAGATTTGTTATGATGAATAGAAGAAAGAAGACTTGATAAGGTAAAAGTGCAATCATTTACTTGCCAATTGCAAGTATACCGCCGATTTTATGAGAATCGGGGGTGTCTCCTTGCATCATTTCAAATATTCTCTTATTAGCTTCATTTAATAAATTAGATTGTCCTTCGACCTTATATCACGTCAAATAAAATCGTTAAGTCCTTGTTCCGTTTTACTAAATTCCATTATTAAAAAAAACAAACGGATCAAATTACCAGTATGCGAAGATCTTGTGCGGCCTTTTGTTGAATGGCCCTATCTCTGTTATATATATTGAGTTAATCAGAATAGAAGTAGTGCAAATAACGGTATTATTTAATAATGAATATATGTACTTGTTTTTTAGCCGATTAAAAATTTCGTCCATTACGACTAAGACAGCTAATATTGTTATACGTATAATAATATAATAATAATATAAAATAATAATTCGTGACGAAAAATTTATTGTGGAGTTGGCGCTGTATATGTGGTTGCGATATCTTTTTTTAATCGGTGTACAATCTTTTAAGGAAAAAACATCAGGAAAGAAGCTTTGATGCGCATATCCAAGTTTGTACTCACCCTGTGAATAATGTGGCTAACGCTCTTCTTTCCAAATATAAAGTGACTGATTCATAGTAAAAAAAAACTTCGGCGAACAAGTTGTCACGATATTTAAACTATAGTGCTAATTTATACTTTTCGCAATCCGTTTTATGAATTGCCTTCGTAGCTAGGCTAATTCTCAAGTAACGGTGCGACGACTTAGAATTAAACAACACTATGTGGTCAAAATTTGTTGGCCAACTAAATCCAATATTTGGTGCAGCACATTCTGTAACATCGACGACACCTTTAAAAATTACTGAGCGACTTTCTAGGAAATCTAGTGTTGGATCGCAAAAAGATCCACGCGTAACAGAGGCTAGAAGAAAGAGTAGTCTGTTATATGGTGTTACACTAGGTAGTGAAATCTCTGTACAAGAAAAGCTATCGGAGAAACAATTTTCACGCAAAACGTGAGTTCTGCCGGTGGTTACTTTATCGGTTCTTACGGCCTGAATAATAAATATCATATGTGTTCGTCTTAGACATATCAGAGATTGAAATTTTATTTGACGATTTCATTTGTCATAATAGAAAATTTGTTATAATAGAAAGCACATATAAACATATCGTATAAGTCCTACAAGTTATAATAAGTGAATAGTGCCAATTTCTAAATATCATGTCTTAATAACCTAGTTTAAAATAATTAAGGCCCGCGTAATTGGTTTTATATAGTAACATTAATCGGTAGACCTTTTTTAACTTGTTAATTATCTATTTAATATAGTGTTAGAATCTCTGCTGAGCAGCAACAAGAATTATGTTCACTCTTTCGACAATGGCAGGGTGCATTGGATGAAAAGGTATTAATACTTACAATAAACCAGTTTCTACTATTTTTAACGTTTGGACGTAAATTTTTAGAATATGTTTAGTTTGATCTTATTAAACTATTAAAATATGGATTAAATTATAATTTCTTCCAAATTATTTTTATTCGCGGTTTTATGACTAATTTTATTATATTGATCAGGAACGTGGTGTCCTCCTAATTGCATTATCACGTAAATTTTTTGAAAATTATGTTGACGCTCCTGATATGGTGGGAGAGAGGTGAATATTTTAATTTCTCTATATGCAATGATTGATATTTAGTTCGTTTTACTAAAACATCACATATTTAAATAGCTTGGACGATTTGGAACTTTTTACTGATGCTGTTTCAAGGCATTTAATTAATTGTATTCAATTACAAGCCAGTCAGGGTAAAGTGAGCATATATAATTATTAGTTGCTTTCTGGATTTTTTTATGACTATAATTGATGATTTTAATTTCTAATTATTCACTTGTCGCATGAAAAGATATTTTACAGATGTTAGCCGACGAAAATCAGCTTTTTTTTATTCTTAAGACAATTGATTTACTGTGTAACGGACCCGTAAGTATACATTTATCGCAGCATAATTATTGTCGGATTGACCCTCGTATCGAGATGCTTGTTCATGTTATTGAATTCTATAGTGACGATACAAAGGTCATGACTAAAACTTTGTAAGAAATATATAAAAGCAAAATATTGAAATGATCACTATTCTTGCGGCATCCTAGGAATTTGTATTTGAGATCATGACAACACATTCGCTTCCCATAATCTTGATTAAGGCTTTTCAATCGTTCATCGAAATTCCTCAACATACGATAAAAAGTGAATCTAACGAACAAGCTGATTTGCCATCATCTAATTCATTAGCATTCGCACCTTCTGGTGTTGTCTCGGATATTGTAACGGATATCCTTATTCATTTTGTGATAAATTCCATTACATTAAACCAAATGCTAGAACAAGATGTCTTATATTTATTAGTCACAATGGTAATAAATGACAGAATATCTATATTAGATAACAAAGAACATCAATATATTTGGGAAGACAGGTATGAGTTATTAAATTATTGCCTTCTATGATTGCATTGGAGTAAGCAATATTAATGACGCATGATTATCCTATGTAGAGCGATGGAAGTTCTTATTGAACTTTTTGCGGTTGCTACGCAAGATATTATAAAATACTTTATAGATAAAAATGTCATGGGGATTTTAATGAAAATATTAACAGACAGTATAGACTTAAAGAGTAATACTTTCATCGGTGGCAAACAGTTAATTTATGCAGGTTCATTAATTTTAGAAATAATACAGGCAAGGATTTAATTGATCATGTTTTTTCCGTAATATTTTTGCAAGCTACTTCGTATCAATAATTAAATGTACCTTTTATTGACTTAATTTATCACAAAAGGGAACGCTCCATGTGTCGCCGATTTTTTTAGAAAACTTTTTGAATATGGATGGATATGAGATATTTTTTAATTTGCTTATATTACCTCCATTTGATGGACTATATTCTGAAGTGAAGGTAATCTAGTTTATAGACAAGATTTAAATTAACACAATAATAAATATTTTCTCATCTACAATGTAGGATGCACTTATAGAAATGGTTGAAGATTTGGCATTTACGGGAGCGGGTGAAATCAAACCTGTTATATCAAACAGAACTCCATATCAACACAACGGTAGATTTAATTTCTATAACGTGTTCTACAAAACAATTTTTCTAGGTTCTAATAATATTTATCGATTACTTTAAACAAGACTTTCAATTACCTAATGAAATAAAGGATGATGGTATGCTTCCTGGCTAGCTTTGATTGATAATTTTTTTTATTTTTATTACAAGATATTAAAAGATAGGCAAATGACTTGAACTAATAAAACTGTTGTTAAATGTTATTTAAAAATTGTTATTTGCCTTTCTATGTTACTGTAGACAATGCTTTTTTATTTAATTATTGATTAATTAATATTTTAAACGAATTAATATTTTAAATGTATATGTATTTAGAAAACCTTTTTCGTAACGAAAGAGCATTTCAGGTCCTGTCATCCACTTTACTATATCCCGACTCCAAATATATTCCACCTTTTTCGTTGGAGTTCTTCAATACAATTATCATAAAGGAAGCGATCCCGGATATTTTTCAGCAAAAAATTGTTGCGGCTATTGCGGAAATTTATAAAGCAAATGTTTCGAACTTTTTTTTAACGGAACATTTAAATACTCTTCCAACTTTAATTCAGGAATTAGATAGATTTAATGTTAAAGTCCAGGTTTGTAAATTGTCCATAGTAACATGAAAACTATGACTTTCATTTTATTAACGGCACTTTATCATCAGCGATCGATATTAGATTTACTTGTCTATGTTATGGTAGATTTAAATTATGTGCCGTTTAGAGAACTAGTAGTATTGTCTTTACATTTTCAAGGTATACACATTTTAAATTATGATAACCAAACATGTATTTGGAATTAGTATAAACAATAATAATAAAATTATTTGAACTTAAAGGTCATTCCTTAAGACATACAACTGCTATTGTGTGTGAGACAGTTATATCTCTTTTGCAGACGTCTTCTAAATTCAAAGAAGACTTTCGTGAAATTGGGTTGCTTGATATGCTATGTAACTTGCTTCAAGAACTAGCTACTACATTACACGATAGATTTGGTGACACACATTTTGTTAGAAGAATATCAGTTTCACAGTCCAATGATGCATTGAATACTCGTAACAACAAGGCACCTAAAACAAAAAGCCGACTTAGTCCTGAAGTTATTGAAAATTTTCATCTGATTTCTGAGTGCCTGATAGAAATGCTAAAAGGAAACAAGACAAATATTTCATTATTTGGAAATGCGTGAGTATTTCACTGAATTTTGATTATTTATTAATTAATGGGCTTAAATATTTATTATTTAATAGGTACAAAGGAAATTTGTTCGATTTATTGCATTACGATGAAACTCGAGATGATGCGTTGACTATATTTGAAACATTGGTTGTGGAAGGTTATATTTTATCTAATGCAGAGCCGCATACTCCTATGACAACTTGCTCGAGAAATTCAACTTCAAGCATTGAACATTCATTTCAATTTGGAAGGCTGATTGAAATCGTTCAATCTCTTCCTAGATTTGATCTTAAAATGAAACGGCATATCCTCTTGTCTATGAAACGCATATTAGTTTCTTGCCCTGAAATGAAGGATGTTTTTCGTGAATCTGGAGGATTTGTTTGTCTCGTAAGCTTATTAGTAGGTCTAGAGGATGTATATAAGCAGTTAATACAGAACTCTGTAGAAAGTGATGTTAAAATTGATGCAATAAATGAAGTTTCTCAGATAGATTATGCAAATTACAATACAGATATAACATCAATGAAGAATCAAGCAATCGATACATTAAAAGCTATATTTGTTGTATTTGCAGAAGCTATGTCTAATCACGATTCTAATCGTCGATTTTTTAGCAATTCCATTGGTTTTAAATCGGTAGAGGATGCCATTTGCCTTACTGAGATGTTTAAGTTGCCTGGAGCCCCCGAAAATCTTTTCGGAATACTTTTTGGATTCGCGATCGAAAACGATTCAGTGGCTGATGCATTCATTGATAGACAAGATATTTCAAATAATGTTAATCAATTCAAAATAGAAGAAATGTTTGGAAATTTTACTGACGAAATTCATAATCCAGATATTATTCCCACTCTAATGAAATTGCAACTCTGCGTTAATCGTGATTCAGGGCTGTTTTTGAAAATTTATGAAGCTCTAGTCGCTCTTGCCTTTGCAAATCGAAGAAATCAAGTTATGCTAAATAAATCTGGTGTGCTTGAAATTGTTTTACATCGATTATTTCCAACATCAATTCAATACACTGAAAAAGGGAAAATTAACACTAGTAATCGCACTCAAGAAAAGAAACTTTTAACGAAATTAGCTCAAAGATTGATTGAAATGGGTGTTACTACAAAGGAGATCCGTTTTCTATTTGAACAATTCGAAAATGGGAATCAACGTCCTAAAACAATTACAGACACCGATGGTGCATTCATGACTGCTATGGACATGGTCTTATTTGGTGTTCAAAGAAGCAGATGGCCTCGGTTCATACAATTTGATATGTGTCAGTTTGGCTATTCTTGTTTAGAGATGAATAGCTTAAGTGATCGTCCATTTCCACCTGTAAATGGGGGGTATACGTTTATGAGCTGGCTTGATATCGAAAATTTCGATTCAGAAATGAACCTGACCCTTTTAGGGTTAAGTGATGATGAAAAGAAATGTTACTTGCAAATTTATTTCGAAGCACAAACTCATAAACTTGTTGTTCAGACATCTCCAAAACAAACGACTCGATTTGATAATTTCGAATTCCGAACCGGATATTGGTATCATATAGCACTCGTACATCGCCGATCGCGTTTAGGGCAGTCGTCATTAATGTCGCTTTATGTAGATGGAAGATTCGTAGATGAACAAAAGTGTCCTTATTTAAATCAATCAGTGACTAACCGACCAATAAAAACGTTTATTGGAACGCCAAAAGATATTGCAAAAAAATTAGGCAAAGGCGAAACTAAACTCGCATGGGATCTAGGTCCTTGCTATTTTTTTGAAGACGACCTAGATGGTGACATCATTAGTGTTTATTGTCATCTTGGGCCTCGGTATTCTTCTAATTTTCAAGATTCTTTAGGTCAATTTCAGACATATCAAACTTCCACACTGCTTAATATGAGGCTTGAGGCCTTAAGTCGCCAACGTGGTGACTCCACTATTGAATTGGATAATTTGCCGATAGTTAATGCAATTCGTGGTAATAATAGTCAGACTTTGCCTGAAGAAAAAATCATTTTTGCATTCAATGCAAGTAATGTTCTTGTCTGTGGCCAAAATGCAAGCATATTGGGTGCTGGTCTTTCTGAGGGCACATCACAAGCCCTACTTGGCAATGTTAATACAAAGGTGATATTAAATGCAGCTGTTCCAAAAGTTGAACGTGCTCTACGAGTGCCACATGGATTAGCTTACTTGCAAGGTGATCCAGTGACCGCTGTTCCTTACGGGATGGATGATTCTATTTGGAAGATAGGAGGCTCTTCTGTGGTTTTGAGGTTAATCGAGAGGGCGGAAGTACGATCTAAGTCTTTAACATTCTATAGGTTGTTTTATCTCAAACATAATTTTAAATTTTTAGTTTTTATTGCTTTATAGACAACGGAAGATTTGTATAAAACTGTTTGTACACTTATCGAGCTGATTCGATTTAACTGGCGAAATTCAGAAGACATGGAAAGAATTCATGGATATGAAATTTTGGCGTATTTACTGAAGCAAAAGCACGGTCTCTTAACTCCAGAACTTTTAAATTTATTGCTCGTCTTTGTAGGGTTAAATCCGGTCAATCATATGTGAGTTTCAATATATTTTAATGATATATACATAGTTTATGTTCATAACAGTATTTTTGCATTTTATAGGGATTCAGTTATTATGAATCCTCTCGCTTATCGATTTTTAATACTGGACTTCGACCTGTGGAGACATTCTCCCGAGAGTGTTCAAAGAGCGCATCTTCAACAATTTTCAATATTTATTCATTTGAGCAAGCATCATCATTATAATGCTAAACGTTTAAGCAAAATGCGTATCCTTCCTCTTTATGAAAATTCGAATCTAATTAATTCATTTTTATAAATCCTAAACTAATATACTACGCACAACAGATGTCGTCAAGAAAATGTTAGTTGCGCTAAAAACAAACGTATATCCGAAAGAATTATTAACTGATTTTATAGAAACTCTGAAAATAGTAGTAAAGTACAATTTTACTACAGAGGTTATACGATCGATTGTAACTTTTCTTGTATCTACATTGAATAAACGTGGGTTTTATATTTCAATGCTACTGTATATATTATTATAATTACAATATTTAATAATGCTAACTTTTATATTACGTAGCTTCTCCAATTCGTCGCGGTATTCGTAAAGAATCGCCTCTCAAAACTGGCAGTACTACTACGTTTTCCCATGAGAGCATTTATGGAAAAGCATCTATAAGAAATATTATAGTGGATGTTAGAAGCTTGCCAGCTGAAACGACTGCACGGCATATTGGTGTTATGGTCATGGAAATGCTTACGGACATTGTTTGCGACAAACTTAATCCTTTCTATGTCAACAGATTTGCAACAACCATTACCAACAAATGGTCATTGCTTTTTTTTAGTGAAGATTCTAATCCATCGTGGGTGGTATGTGCCGCGCGGATTCTAGCTAGACTTTTTCATTCTCAAGGGGCCGCTTACATTAATAAATTTCGCACGTTGTCTGAAGGGTTCATTGTTATGCAAAAGTTACTTCCTCAATGGTGGTATCTTACTCAATTACAACATGTATTGTTCACTATGCTTTTTGGCATCGATGTATGCGATATTCCAATCGATGCTTCTTTTGATCTTTCATCTTTGGTGACATTATTTAGAGCTGATGATGACGCTACGCGAATTGCTTGTCCAGATGTTATGATAATTATTTTACTAATGATGAAAGAAGGAATAAATTCAGTGGTCCAGCTAAGTTATGAAGTCGAAAGGGGTCATAAGGCAAGAGACAGATCTAAGGATGACTTTGTTACTCAAAACTCTAATGAGATATTTGAAGGTATAATATAATAATGCGTTATACTTTCGGAGAAACTAATCACAGTTATATCTTAAAAGTTATATTTATTCAATTTTTATGCTTAGCCGAAAAAGAAAGTGATCCTTTGAAAGAAACCCTGTTTAAGGTTTCGCACGTGGAACAAATCATCATACATTTCTTAATGGATATGTATAATAACTCAAGTGAATTTAGCGAACTATGTTGTAAAGGCGAAATTATGGATTGTTTCATTGAGATTCTTTTTCCTATCGTTTGTGCTTGTGATGAGGTGCCAATAGAGACTGAATTGTGTAATAAAGATCTTGGGCTTTCATTTGATGTTGACATTGCAACTGATCTGTTTATGAACAGTATTAATAATAATATACCGGGAGTGTTGCCAGTCTTGGCCAATTTACCACGTTATGCACAGTCGTTCGACGATGAAACCGGGGAAGAAATGATAACATTTTCTACCGGAAATAATATTGCAACTATATTGACTGAAGAAACAACTATTAGTCCGTCAGCGTCTCCCACACAAGCAAGTCCTGTTAATAGCGATATAGATGACGAACCTGACTCTAATTTTCGAATTAAACCACCTATAAGGCGCATGACAAAAAAGCCAGACTACTCAGAACATAAGAATGCTACTGTAGAAAGTCTTCTGGAATTCGTTGTATCTCTATGTGTAAATTCAGTAGTTGATCCAAAGCTAAAACCGCTGGCTGGGCTAGAAATTGTTTTGAGAGTATGTAGTTAATTTCTCTATTGTTATTACTATTCGTAGCACATCAAGTTAATATTAATTTAATATTTTTTCCAGTCTTTCCCACCATCGTTGTTGGAGCATCAGGCATGTTTGTTTAAATTGTGTAAAGTTTTTTTTGTAATATCTTTTAACTTTTAATTTCTATTTTAGATTCAATTTGAAAGTTATGTATTGCTGCACGTTATAGGTAGTCTTAAAATAACTCTACAACTCGAATCGAATTTATTGACAGACCAGCGAATAGTCGCCAACGTTGCGAGATTCTCTCAAATGGCAGTAGACGCAATATACCAAGGTTTCCCTATTTTTTTTGTGGCCTTTTTCGTTTTTTTATTTCATGTATTATAAAATTTAATCGTAATTATATTCATAGGATGGTTTTCAAGTGGAAGAGACCAAATGTATGAATTCATCACTGCAATTTTGGAGAGGATTGATGAAACCAACGGAAAACGTGTTAATGATCAATGGATAGCGGCATTATATCGGTCTTTAGACAGAGTGATTTTGTTTAAGCTTTCAGAAATTGAAAATACGTCAGCCGATGCCAGCATCATAACTGAAGTGCTTGGAAAATTAATATACAATCAAAGAGTCATTCTAAGTCCTTATAATACCGATGTTGATTTTCTGAGATGCTTATGCTATCATCTTTATAAATTTTTGATTTATGACAGTCAGGACGTTAAAACCAATTCAACTAATGTATCCTTTTGGCGATAAAGAAAAATTGTATGTTCACAATTGCATTAAATTTCCAGATTAATCCTTAGCTAGACCTTAAATTACAGGTTTGGAAAATGTTAATGCTTCAAAAACCAAATGAAATACCAGGAATATTAAGAATGCGAGTCAGGGGAATGGGTAATTTTTCTTTAAAGCTTAATCAACTTAATTAAATCGCAATACAATTTATTTGATAAAATTCTCATTGTTAGAATATAAGGAATTAGTCGAGGGGTTTAACAAACTATTGGAAATGGTATATCCCCATTTATGACCTTTCTATAACTCTAATTCATTTAAGACAATCTAACAAAAATATTTTAGGATATTAACTCATTTTTAGATTGGGTTGAGTCTCGAAGAACACCACTTGACACGTTGTTTCATGATAATATTTCGAAAATATGGTACTCTTTTGTTGCATCTGAAGTTAAAAACTGCAAAGAATATCTGAGGAATCTGCACAATAAACGAATGAATAAGCTTAAGAAATTATTTAAAAGAGCTACGGTGGACCAAGAATTCTTTAATCAATACAGAGTTAAAACTACCCAGTGGTCAAGGAATATTCAAGAAGTAGAGACTAGTCGATATTATAAATCAATTCAAGATAATATTGATCACGATAATTATGTGAGAGATGAGTGGGCAAAAACATCAGCTGATTTATTCCGTGAGCGTGCTCTTTGGGGTCCGAAAACGTCAGATCACGAATCAAAATGGAGGTTGGATTTCACAGAAGGTATAGTATATTTGATCTTTGGCGTGTATTATATTGTTTTGCTAATTTATTATTTCTAGGGCGGTGTCGGATGCGTAAAAAATTGGAGCAAAATGAGGATTCGCGGTTATTTTCTTATAAGCCAAAGAGTAGCAAATACGAAAATTATGCAAATGATGTATGGAACAACTATTTGTAAAATATATTTTGTACCTTTTGGATTAATTGACTTATTTTACTTGTTATTTTTTTATATTTTAAGAACACAAATGAATCGTCCAAACCTTATGCAATGAATAATTCGAATAAGTCACATACAAGTACTTGTTTTCGTACAGTTAAATACGATCGATATTTTAATACTTTAACTAATATCAAATTTAATGCCTTGATAGATTTGGATGTGCCTATTCGTCATTTAGGAGGTATAGAAGATAAATTTAACATGCTTTTAACAAATATTCCATATTAATGCTTTGTTATTTAGGAAAACCGCATGATCGCCAAATGACACTCACCCCTAGTGCAAGTGATGCTGAAACATCAAATGACGACGTCGATTCTGTTGAAAATAGTACGTTCTGATATTCATTTTTATACATTACGACAATTTTCTCTTTTAACATTTTCAAATGTGATTCCTCACCAAATTAGGTCAGTATACAGAATCACAAGCAGAAGCTGACGAAGAAAATGCGTTTGAAGAAGACAAAAACAGAAAGGTTTTAAGGTCATTAGAACACGGTGATGCTGTCTTAGACATATTTAATATTAGTCGTATAGCCGGGTTAGATGCATGCGGTAAGCAAATTGCAAAGCTTTAAGATCTGTCGGTTTATGATTAATGTTTTATTTCTTGATAGAGGGTCTTTTACTACTGTGTAAGCAAAACCTATATTTAATCGATAACTATTTTCAAACTATGGAGGGTGAAATTGTTGATATATGGGATGCACCAACGAAGGTATCGTTATTACTCTTTGCAATCGATTATTGATTTTAAGCTAAACATTGATTTCTGAATTTATTGAAGGAACGAGATCAATATTTACAAATGCTCGCCTCTCATGCTGGTTATGTAAACAATACGCCTTCTAAAGAAAACAAACATAAGAGCAGGCGATGGTACTTATTATTGTTATTATTATTCAATTACATTCTTCTGCGTAACATGGTTTTCTTGTACTTTATTAAGGGCTTTCGATGACATAAAAGAAGTTCATAAAAGGAAATTTTTGTTTCGGTAGGCTAGCATTTAATGTCTTACGATTTATTATTTTGAACGTTATTTCTAAAAAGCTAAATTGGCTCAACATGATTTAGTGACGTTGCGCTTGAAATATTCTTTGCCGATGGCCGTAATTATTTGATCACCTTCTTCCTGAAGGAACGAGATATTGCATACAATAAACTTGTTGCAAGAGCTACTTTTTCAATTAGCGGCGCTGAATCTGTTATCGGCACATCTGTCCTTGATGCTGTATCTCCTGTTACACCATTGACAATTCCTTCAACTGGCTTGAGGTTTAACCTGAGCTTTTTTTCAAACTCAAACTCATCATTGGCAGAACTGACACTAAGATGGGAAAAAAGGGAGATTTCGAATTTCCAATACTTGATGCATTTAAATACCTTAGCTGGCCGATCATATAATGGTAAATGAACGTATGTTTTTTAAAAATTAATAAATACGTAACTAAGTATCTAATAAATTTAGATCTTACCCAATATCCTGTATTCCCTTGGATATTAGCTGATTATACCAGTGAGGATGTGTGTTATCAATTTAATTTTAATAGATAATATTCTGCATATAAAATTAATAATACTTTTTTTTTATTTGAGTTAGCTGGACTTATCCAATCCTGCAACTTTCCGTGACTTATCTAAACCCATGGGAGCACAAACTGAAGAACGCAAAAGTATGATATTAAATAGAATACAATACAATTAACCTTAATTTCGCTGATAAATCGTTATTTCGTTATGCATTAACTTTAATATACAAATTTAAACTTAATAATTTTATAGAGGAATTACAAATACGTTATCGTTCTTTTGATCCTACAGCGAATGCAACAACACCAGCATTTCATTATGGAACCCACTACTCGTCTGCAATGATTGTTTGTTCCTATTTAATTCGTCTTGAGCCTTTTACACAACAATATTTAAAACTTCAAGTAACTGCCTAAAATGTATTCTATCAATTTATTGAATAATCATTTGACATTTTCCCTAACTGCCACGATTTCACTTATGTTACTTATCGTAGGGTGGACATTTTGACCACGCTGATCGACTGTTCCATTCAATTGCCAAAGCATGGCTATCAGCTACTAGAGATAACATGAGCGATGTTAGAGAATTAATACCAGAATTTTTTTATTTGCCAGAGTTCCTGGAAAACGCAAATAAATTTAACTTTGGTAACATATTTAAGTTATAATATGAGACTTTTATATATTCAAACTAATTGTTCTATATTAACTTGGTAACTAGGTGTCAAACAAGGGACGGGTGAGGTAATTGATTCGGTCATTCTTCCACCTTGGGCATACGATGACCCCAAAATGTTCATACATAAGCACCGTCAGGTTAGTTATTTACTAGGCATAATATGTGCTTAATTCTGTATAATATTTATTGTTATCTTTAAATTTTAGGCTCTTGAATGTGAATATGTTAGTGCTCATCTTCATGAATGGATAGATTTGATCTTCGGATACAAACAACAAGGACAACCTGCTGTAGATGCGGTAAATGTTTTTCATCATCTTTCGTATGAAGGCGCCATTGGTAAATAACAAAATTAATTTGAATTCGTGAGCGTATCCGAAAAGAAAAATTGCACACTAATATATGTATATTTCATTTTTTCAACAAGATTTGGATGCAATTAGTGACCCAGTCGAAAGATCAGCAACAACTGGAATTATTCATAATTTCGGTCAGACTCCTCGTCAACTGTTTACGAGACCACATCCGCCAAGATCTTCTGATACAAGTGATTCTAGTAACTACAAATTCAATGAAAACATGGAAATGTTAATACAATCGATATCTCCTTTACTCGGTAATAGTGTTTGTTTATGTATAAATTTATTTTATTGTACCTATGTTTTAATAAGACCAAATTTTCAATATATCTTACAGATATTCGACTGCAAGTTCATGATATACGTATAGCGAATGATCGATTGTTTGCTGTTAGTACGCAACAAATGCTAGTTCCGCCAAATTATACTTATTACGTTGAGTGGGGCTACTCCGATAACAGCCTGAGACTTCATCAAACAGATACTAAAAAGGTTTTGTAAGATACTTATTGATGAAGTATTATTTTCATTCTGGGGAATTATTATAAATATCCTTTTTTTTTATTAGCTGATCGGCCTGTATGAAAATCTTCACTTGCAAACAGTGAGCTGTGCTTGCTTTGCGGATGGACGAACATTCATTACTGGAGGAACTGATGCAGTAAGTTTTTTTCATTTTTAGATTGGTTCATAATTTAATTACTAAACACTTACCCGTTATTATTAGGTCATTTGTATTTGGAGATTTAAATGGCAACCTAAATCACCAGAATGTGGTTTTATGGAATGCCTAAGAGGGCATTCTGCAAAGATCAATTGTGTTACTAATTCTAGATCATATAGTGTTATTATAAGCGGGTCAGATGTAAGTGTAAATACGAGAAATAAGCGGTTTTTAATGGCATCTTATGAATGTTTTGATGCTTTTTACAGGATAAGACTTGTATAATTTGGGATTTGAATAGAATGAAATATGTGAGGCAGTTGCAAGGTCATGAAACTGGTGTTCAGGTATCTAATGTTGAAATTTATGTTATGAGTGTAAATTTTTTTTTACTCACGTTCCACAACATACTTTCTGTATTTATTACTACTAGTTTGTCGCCATTAATGATACGACTGTAAGTAAATTTTATATGCATTTTAACAGCAATAACAACTAATAATGTTATATCATTATAGGGAGATATTGCAACTTGTAGTGGGTCGATCATTCGTTTGTGGAGCATCAATGGGGACCTTTTGGTTACTAAAAATACCGCTCAAATTCCGGATCCGATCCTTTGTTGTACCTTCTATGAGGTAAAATGATTTATATTTTATCTGCATTTGATAATCTGACAACTGACTTGTACTTGATATTTAGGGCAAGCAAAATGAATGGTTTGACAATGACATTATTATTACTGGGCATAAAAAGGGTGTAATAAAGGCATGTATATCCATCAAGTATATCCATTAATAATTTACGTAATTTTCAAGAAACTTATTGACTATGTAATTTAGATATGGAATAAAAATTTGAAAGTCAAGGAAGATTTGGCCGGAAATAAAGGTATAAATTCAAGATTAATTTAATTTTACTTTAATCTGGCTGAAGTTATAATTGTGTATGTTTTATGTTTTGCAGTGTGTAAATGGAATTTAGAACTACGACATCAGTCAAAACACGAAAATAGAATAGAGCCATCACCTGTAGCAGATGTTGTCGCTTTGCTACCAGCTGGGTAATTTAAATTACTATTGACAATCGTTTATTGGATGGTTATTTTTGTACTCAAAAAAATAATCATATTTGACTTATTATTAGAACGCAACGAGTTCTTTATAGCGGAGATTCGTCTGGAAAAGTTTATTCATGGACTTTACCGGATACTAAAATAGAATCTCATTGGATGCTGGATGGACAAACTGACAATTGTTTAAAATGTTCCGTAAAATTTGCCGTATTAGGTGATTTATTTTTTGTTGCATTAAGCATAATATAATGGGGGCTGAAGCTGAAATTTTAGGTCTCGAATTGGATTTATAAAATCTGCTAAAACCCATTTATACTCCTATCAACAATCTAGCTCTAAATTCAAAAAAGAATTTAAAATTCCTATAATAAAAAATAGGTCAAATTTTCAGCTTCAGTCACCGCGATAAATTTAATTTAAACTAACTGCCTCTTTCGTCCTCAGAGAGAAAAATTCATTGTAAAACTTGTGGGGGTATCTTTTGTTCAAATTGCACTCGATATGGATTTGATAGAAGTTCAAGATTTTGTGAACATTGTTGTTCAAAAATAGGTATACCAATATTATCTTAATATAATGCTCACACTTAGAATTTTCGTCTGTATATTAATTATATCGAAGAACTATAGCTTTTTGACGTGTGTTAGTTTATATGCATGTTATTGTTTGTTTTGTATATTGTAAAAAAATTTTAATATAGAAATTACATGTATATAAAAATAATCTTTTGCTTAATTTGCAAATTCTTGTAAAAAAATGTTGAATATTTTATTACAATTTTACTGTAAAAAAAAAAAACGGTTTAACGTATCGAGCCTATGCTCCATTAATGTTTCCATGGGACGGATTAGGGATCTTTAGTATAGGTGGGCATCCATAAATCATTACAAGATTATAATATATAAAACCTAACTAATTTGGGCCTAAATTCCAACCATAACCTAATAATTTATAAATTTACTTAAACTCATTCAAAATAGTTAATTTATATATACAGTATATTATAATTGTATAATAATCATACTAAATCAGATTCTAAAAGTATTGAATCTAAAACTGACAAGATTTGTATATAATTGTGCAAGTTCTATAACGGTAGCAAATATAAATTAGTCTGATAGCCCTGTTTTAGAAATCCCCTATTGAGGGGTCACCAAATAATGAATTATTAACTCTTAATTCGTATATAATCCATTTTTAATGGCTTAATTGTCTAAATTGCACCCATTAATGAATCAAATTTTACAACTATTTCCTATCGTCATATCGCATTGTTCAGTACAAATATCATAGTGAATAGATTTATTTGTTCCATATTACGAACGTTTTTAAGCTTATTTAAATACAATGTCCCTGAAAATCAACGTACTAATCTATGTATGTGCGCAAAAAAAAAAAAAAAAAAAAAAAACCATTACAAATTACAATATCTATCTATCTCAACAATCTACTTTTCGTTATAGTCAAACTCCCTTAAAATAAAATTAATTTTTACGTTTCAACACGTGTCAGAAGTCTAATTGACTCATCTCATTACTGATCCATATATATTTTAACATTCTATCCTTCCAAAAAATATATGACAGTAAATCTGATCCATGAATATACTATGCCTATCGCGCAATACACAGATGTAGCTAATAGCGGTAGGAATTGATATTTGCCATCACCAAATGCGATTTGATGAACAACACCAGTGAAAAACTGTAAGATAACAAATCCAGTAATATACACGTTTTCCAATAGGTAAGCAAATTTGGATGTCACTGGTTTAGGTGCTGTTCGACTTTCAGACTTACTAAAATACAAGAACGATGAAATAATTATTAGAATAAATAGAATATGCTACCTTTTGACATAAATATGGCTTACTGTACGTAGAAATTGCTTGTAATAATCCTATGTAAGTGAAAACTATCCACAATACGCATATGGATATTTTTATAATTGTCTCTATTTGGTCAATAAGCATTTTTTGTTAAACTTTTGCATTATAATAATCGATTTATGGAATAAATAGTTCAACAAACCTGTAGCTTTGAAAAGAAGAGGAAATAATGAAACCAACCCGGATATGGAAAGAATCATGAAAGTACGTAAATGTTCTAGACTTTCAGTCACGATCAACCTATATATTAATAAAATTGACTATGTGAAATCGAAATTATATAAAACTTATTTGAAACATGCTTAATAAGATAAATAAATACCCGAAGGGAATCATGATCAATAGTATAGCCTTTTCATGAACATGCCATCCGAAAAGAAAGGACGAATAGCCACATAAAATCACAGATCCAATAAAATTTTTGAAATTCGGATACCGCCATAATTTGGTAAGTGATGCCTTAAAAAGTTATTAAAAGTCATTCAACCATATTTTTTAACATGAAAATGCACAGAAATTTACCATTTGAAAAATCATAGTAATAATGAACGTCGATTTTGCTGGAATTTGTGGTAATACAGCAAAATTGACATCGCCAACTAATCCTCTTGTAACAGATGATGTTGTTATATCATTTAATTCCAACCCTAATCGCTTAAAGACTAATATTAATATATAATATTTAATAAAATATTAGTTAACCTCATAACAATCCATATTAGATTGGTAAATTCTGAAGAATGTATGTCACCAATTATTAAAACGCGATCCATAAAAGAGTACAATGCCCAAAAATTTGGGGCCCAGTATGCATGGCAAAGACCTCTTTTGAAGGGGAACAGACGAGAAAACACCTGTCCCAATTGCCCCATATAAAGGAATGGCCCGAATGACAATAAAAAAATCGATATGACTGAAGCTCCAAGGATTATAAACCTTGACCGTGAAAATTTTCCAAATTCTAAAAAAAAAGAAAATAATTTACGTAGCAGTTAAGGCAAATATTAAACATTAACGTTGTAATTTAGCTTTTTCTAACCTCGACTTCCAGGTTCTTTGAAGCAATAATGCCTCAGCAAATAGACGAAGTAAGCAGGGGCAAGATATAGAAATATGTGTTTAAAATTCAATAAAACAGCAAACATGATTCCACATAAAAGATCTTTGCCCTTACATAAGTTGAATAAAATCAGTTTTATAAAGATTTTAATAAGGATTTAATTGATGATTATAATTTTTATGATAAAATTACCTCTTTGGCATATGTCAACGAAAGTAAGAAGATACCGTAAAGAAATCCATTATATTGAAAATGAATGTGTTTGTAGATGTCAAGGGATATAATTCGTAATCAAGAATGAATCACTCATACCAAATCCATTAAAATATAATTTCATCATAATTGAATATTAAGCAAACATTAAGAAAATCTTGTGAAAATCAAAAGGATATGATCAACCATCAGAAGACCAGGATTCAAAAATATTGATGCAGCAAGAATCCATGCGATATTTTTATTTTCTGAAAGCGACAAGAATCTAATAAAAATTATGTAATATTAAACTTGTTAAATCATAAAATTACTTGTTTCAAAGAAAAAAAAAATTCGTTACTTTTTCAGCGCATATAATAAAACTAATTCGGAAATAATAACAGTAGTCCGTTGAAAGTATATAGTTTCATCACTTGCATAATTAAGGTTATCCAAATTAAGCATGTTTTTATCCCATAATGACGCGAATTGCGATAAGAACCATTCGAACCAAGCAAATAATGGTGGATAATCTAGTGTCCACTCACTTCTACTCTTAAAATCGAAATCGTGAAAAAAATGATATTCAATTATTTGATCTTGGGCAATTCTGAACTGTTAAAAATGCGTAAAATCACCTCGTAATACCATTCAGATACCGGGAGACTATGAGTAATAGCGAGCCAATTACGATGTACTTCAAAATCTGTCGAACGGCTTAAAATATATTTTTTTTACTTTATGCATATCTCTATTCAATAAGAATTCTAACAAAAAAAGGAAAAATATTTACTATGCAGGGTAAAGTAATAATTTGATAAATGTACTAAAGATTAATAAGTCTTGATACATATTAAATTATTAAGTTAGTGAGAATCAACGAAATTTTTTGATGGGTGAAAGATGGTCCAAATATGGAAATAGTAGAAACAGTTACACGAATTTTCAGGGAACTCGCGTATTAAGCAAACTTCTAGCTTTCATTTAGTATCTACTAGTCTCCAGCTTTCGTAATTTTAAAAATATACCATTAATAAATAATGTAAAACTTTGTTGATAATAAATCGTTAAATATCACAGTTGACTTTTTTTATAGTAAACTGCGATTCTTAAAATAAAAAATTTTACATGTCGAATGGCAACATTCGACTTCCATTCGGTTTCCATTCGACATGCCATTCAACACGCCATTCAACACGCTATCCGACCAAACATGTCAAATACTTGTTCGAATGGCATATTGAATGGCATGTCGAATGGTGCCATTCAATGTGTCGGATTTTTTTATCTTGACTGGGAGCTTGTTCGTTATAAAAAGATTTATTATATCCAAAGCTCATTGTAGTTAAAAAAAAAATGGAACTGCTTTCACGTCGTTAATTCAGATATATCTTTCATTCATGACCCCTATGTATTTATTCTCTCGTGACGTTATCCTCTTATATTCTTTGAAGTTTCTACAGAATATGAACAAGATTGTTTAGATGGTGACGATTTAGTTGATAATTTGGTCTCGATTTGAGAATAAGGCCTGTTAAAATCTACAGGAAAAAATACCCCTCCTAAAAAATTTTAAAATTTTATATCAAGTTTCAATATCAGCATCAGCGTGACAATAAATAAAATGAGCAGCTTAATAAAACGCAAAAACTGATCGTAATAAGATTAATAATCCAATTCCATAACGATGAAATCTGACAATATGTGATTTCGTCAATTTCGCCAATGAAGTTATTATAGTTCGTCATTACAAAAGTGATTTTATTGAGCATCAATAAATTCGATACTTGATGCACTCGTTTGTTTGGTGAAGAATATCTATTTAAAAATATTCAAAATGTCGATACAGTGGGTTATACTGACATTTTTTGAAAAAAATGTCGGTATAGGAAATTTTGCTATGATGTCGTTATATCCAGATGCCGGTATAACCAGAGTGACGTGTACTATGCAATTCTTGGGTGATTATGCGTAGTCAAGAGTCGGTATCTTTGCTATATTTAGGATTAGAAAGAGTCATAATATATCCATTAGAGACCTGAATTGGGTCTCAAGGCCCGGCCCGCAAATATTTATGGGTCTGAAAAAAATTTTTATAATTGCGGGCCGAGTAATATATGGTTAGATTTTTCAATATCTATAATTTGCATGTAATGATGAATTTACAGCAGATGAATGAGCTGCATATATAAGCGGTCATTGCTAAAAACTGATGAATGCCGGACGGAAGAGTGATGTGGTAAAGAATTTTTTTCTTTATGATGTCAAGAGTTCTGCTCTTCCTGGCTGTGTGTGGTTATAATATCTGATTATACACATGTATATATTAACATCATTTTTTAAAAAATATGATCCCAAATCTTTTTTTTTTTTTTTGTGTTAAAGTATTTGTTTTTGGGAATCAAGTTATTATGGATACAGGAATCTTCAAGAGTTCATACATTATTATACAGGTTTTACATTAGATGTCATATCTATAAGTTAAGTACAGGTCTTATTTATTTAAACCTTCTGTATATACAATCTAACTTTATTATAGAATATCTTTAAAGCATTGTCTATCTAAAGTTTTAATACTTATTGGTATTTTTAGAATTCTTTTATTTTTAAAAAAAATTTATTAAAGTTTTTTATATTTTATATATAATTGATTTAGTTTTATGTAATATATTATATTAGGATTTTTTTTTTATTAAATGAGTAGTCAATCACTTAGCCAAACTAGCAATTTTATTAGTTAGTAATATCTTAAGTATATTTATAATTTGTAAAAATATAACTAGTTATATATAACTTTAGTTATTGTCTATTTAAAAGTTTTATTCTAAAATTACTTACTATTTGTTATACTTAACTTCTGCTTATAGGTATCCTATTTAAATTCTCTAGTTTATCTAATTAGTATCTATATAATTCTAACTATTTTACTTTAAGACAAGTGATTCTGTATTGCCTTATATTATTTAGGTTTGACTTCATTTCTTTTATACTAGCATTCAGATTATAACATATAAGCTTATTACTTGTCAATAAGTCTTGAAGAGCCTTTTTATTAATTTACCTATTTATTTTACAGACCTTAATAAAGCTATACTTTTGCAGAGTTTACCTGAATCTTAGTATTACTTTACAGTATATTCTTAATACATTAGCAAAATTATAGATGTAAAATATTTTGAAAGATTTTATATAATGCAAAAATTTTAAAATATTACAAAATAAATTTTGAAATTTTTATAAAGAAAAATACTAAAATTAACCCATAGTGATCATCACTACTCCTATTTTTAGAGTTAGAGTGCAGTTTGAGACAAAAACAAGATTAGATGTAATGGTTCAAATTTTAGGTTACATAAGGTTTTCAGAGATTCCAAACATTTTTACTTAGTATACCTGACCCCTGTTTCTTAGTGTGTTTTTTGAAATATAGCCTCTAGGTGATGATCACTATAGGTTATAGTTAGTAATATTCTTTTATAAAATGCAAAATATTTCAAAATATTGTAAAATAAATTTTGAAATTTTTTGTAGATTACAAAATATTTTGAAATATTGCAAAAAAGTTATAAAAATTACAAAGTACAAAAAATTAAAAATTAATAATACAATTAATATTTAGTATTTTTTTAAAAAAAAAATATTAATAGTAAAGTCATGTTTTCAATTTTATTGAAATTCAATTGAAGTTTTTATAAAGAAAAGCTTGCTTTTAAATTATATATGAAGAATAAAAACTCAAATATATAATCTGCAACCTAAATCTACAAAAGTAATCAAGATTCATCTAGATTTGAATATTAGTAATAATATAAAAGAAAAGAATATAATATTTAATCTATTAGATAGTTCAAAGGTCAATTTTGATAATAATTTATAATATTGAGATAGAGAATAAGGATAAACTAGAAGAAGAACTATGAATTAAATTTGTAATAAGTGTAGTTTAAGACTGTGCAAAACATGAAATACAATATAGAATCCATATTTGTTTATATATTTGCTGGTTTAAATAAGAAATTTAATAGAAAGAGAAATAGTTATATAATAAGGAATAAAAGTATTATAAATAGTAGAAATAAGGTCAATAAAAACTAAACCAGATAGGATAGAAATAAGAGATAATATGTGTAAAAAGTTGTGCAATTTAAAGCTATTAAGTATAAGAATTTCTTAATATAAATTAGAGACAAGATTGGTGAACATATCAAGAACAGTAATATTTAAAATACAATTAAGTGAATTAGAGATTAAGTGATAAATTGTTTGAATAGAAAAACAAAAAGTTTAATGTAATAAAAAGCTAATTTAATTATATTGGTAACAGAAAAAAGAGTAAAAGGAATTACATTTGTGAAAAATATAAGAAACAAATAGTTTATTCAAAAGAATTTTAATATAAAATGTTTTTAAAATAGAGGAATAGAAGCTATGAGCAAAGTTAGAAACCTTTTAATTATTAATATAAAGCTAAATAGCTTTCTAGTTGATATTAGAAACAATAGTGAACTATTATTGAAAATGATGTTGAGATGTTTAAAGTATTATAATATAAGCTTGACAGATAGTATAAATAATGTGTTAAATAGGAATTTAATAAGAAATTAGTCAATAAATAAAGTATAAGCAGAGTTATAAAAGTTGTAACTATTAGCAAGTTGATCAGTAAAATTATTAAATAGGTTATCTTGGTAAGCAATAACTTTGTAAAAAATAAGCTGAATGTTATATAAGTTAATAAAATTGATAAAAGTTTGCCAAATAGAGAAATATAAAGTATAAGTATAAGAGAGTTTAAATGCTAATAAGCAAATACTATAGTATTTGAAGATTACAAATTGTAAGTTAGTAAAAATATAAACAGAACAGTTTCTAGAAACAGTTATAATTGCTAAGAGAATAGCAAGAATTTTAGCTTTAAAGAAGCATAATCAGAGTTTAACTTATATCTAAAATAAGTAAATAGTTGCAAAATTATCAACTTAAATCTAACTTATGACTATAGAACATTGGGAGATACCAAGCTTAATAACAAAACTATTAGTATAAAATGAAATAGTAGTTAGATTGTAATTGGAATTAGCAATAGACTATAAGCTATCAATAAGTTAATTAGACTAAAAGATACAAACTAATTGTTATAAATTGATTATTACTAAAAGAGAGAATGAAATATATAAAAAATGTCAAATAGCTACAGAGTATGCAATATTAAAAAATTTGGCATGTAAATTAAGAGTTTGTTAAAATTAATACAGCAAAGTAGTGTTTGAAACCAGTTTTATTTTTCTTATATTAAAATTAGTTTTAATCAAATTTAATATAAAAAAAATAAAACTGGTTTCAAACTTTATAGCAGAATAGTTTTGTAGTCAGATTTGTAAGAATGAAGATAGTGCATTTGTTGGCAATTGTATTGGAATTAAAATGATATCCAGAACATATTATAATAGTAGAAAGAGAAGTAGAATATAGATTTGAAAACTGAAACTAGTATAAGCAATGCCAGTAAATAATAATAGTAAAACCTATAAAAATATTATATCTTTTGGTCTTGCTAATAATTATTTAATCATTAAGAACAATAAATAACTAAAATTTGGTGTTAAAGGTAAAGTAACTAGTAGTATAAGAAAAATAGTTTGTTTAAGGTAGATTAAAGTGATTATATAGAGTATGTTGATGAAAATGGCTTGTAGTAATGTTTTTAAGAATGGTAAACTATTAAGATATAATATCTTTAGAGAGTTTGTTTAGTTTAGAAGAAATATTTTGTCAATATAATAAGCATGAATTATCATATATAGTAAGTTAATTAAGAAAGAGTAGTTTGTAATATCTAAGTTGTTTTTTAAAAATAAAATATTTGGAATAAGATAAATAAAAGAATTTAAAAAAGATGACTTTATCATTTAGAGTATATAGAATATTATAAGTTGGATTAAAAGAAAATATCCAACTAATATACTTAATAAGCTGAATAATTTTAAAGTTTGTAGTTAAACAGTTGAGACTATCAATAATTAGATTAGAATATAAAAAAATATTTGTAAAAGATCAGAAATTGTTTTATAACTATTGAATTTGAATACAAGTTAATGTATCTAATAAGTCAGAATTATTAAGTTATTTGAGAAAGTTAGAAATATAGTATTGTAATTAGATGTTTCAGATATATTTAATGTTATAGATTTGAGAATATAAAAGGATACTAGAGAATATTGTATAACAAAGTTTAGCTTTAAGTTTAACAAGACTAATATGCTGAG